TTTACAAGCCTTTATGAGAGTATTTGACCAGATGTGTCTGTAGATTCACCTTTTCATTGCTTAGAGCTGGACAAGGCCCCCTCGTCCCATCTACAGTGTAGTCAGACTCACTACACTGTAGCTGTGCTGCTCCCTACTGGACACACACATGCTGTTTTAGATGCAGACAGTTGTGTGTAGTTGTACGATTGTCCTGCCATCTGCCGGCTGTAATGTGCTTGTGCTGTCATTTGACATTTCTCCCTAAAAAGCCTCAAAATTTGACACCGTTCTCTTCTAAAAATCAACATCTGAATTCCTCTGAAATCTACTTTTGAATGGGCATCCTGCCAGAAAGGAAGAAATGTAAACAGGAAATACAACTTATCAGTCACACTATCTTATCAGTGTGCTGTAAATAAATAAATAAATAAATAAATAAATAAATAAATAAAAGAAATAAAGAAAGAAAGAAAGAAAGAAAGAAAGAAAGAAAGAAAGAAAGAAAGAGGACTGCCAATGTTTAACAATGTTTAACATGAGCCCTCAGAACAGGATGTCTGTCACTGGTGCCAAGAACTCTTTGTCTTACAATGTCCTGAGACTATTTGTATTAATCATTAGCACTTAAAAGTCATTTTCTGTAATTAGTCGGTGCAGTTTCCATAGAAGTGACGCTGCATGATGTCACAGGTTTTAGCTGTTGTCTGCAGTGTTTGTTGTTCAGTTCAGATTGAATACAAAATGCTCCACAGTAAAGCTTGTTTAGTCTTTTGTCAGGAAATACTACAAAAAAAGACAGAAACCGATTTATTTGACAAAAACAACAAAAGCAGTCAAAATAAACTTGAAGCTGAATGACTTGTCAGTCCGTCTGAATCATCACTGATGACACATTAGAAAAAGTACAATGGGAAAAAACAGTTGGATGCAACCTGATGAAACAGCTCTACGTAAAAATGCATGACTTAAGAATGCATATTTGTAATTCCTGAGGTTTCAAAATCAATATTTGTGAACAATACGCTTATCTATTATGTAGTTAAGAAACCCTGAATGGCTTATTTGACATTGTGACATTGTGTATTGACTTACTGGATGTTTCTGTTCGGTCCATCCTCTTCTAATCAGATTCAAACACAGTCTCCATTGTATATCCCTGGGCTCTGGGGAATGTGTTTTTAAGGTGATTAGGGGCTTTCTAAAAAAGATGACAAGCAAATAGTCTCTGAAATCTATTGCAAGGGACAGATCTCTTTGCCGGAGCACTAGCAAAATGCTGTCAGCTGTTGTTTTTATGACAGTGCAATTAAAATGCTAAATCTGCTCTAATAGCCTCAAAATAAATAGGTTCTTCCTCAGGGCGGTGCTGGGAAAATTGATATAAAGTTAGTGAAATGTACACCAATTTATTTTCAGTTTGCCTCATCAGTTCACAAACCATTTAGAGTGTAAGTATAGTTTTTTTCCCCTTGAGTTGGTTTGTTCAAAAGTATAAAGGTTCATCCTCAAAGGAACATGAACGTACTCAGTACATGTCATGAAACACCTCACGTTACGGTTGGATATTTTTTTCTTTGCGTGATGGTGATGCCAGATGAAAATACAAAGGTCATCAAAAGGATTAATCTCAAGAAGACTGCGAATATAAACAGCATAGTTCTGACTTTGCGAGAGTGGGCCAGTGGACCTTACTAAGTGATCAAATATGTACGGAGTCTCAAAGAGTTAAATACTAAATAAACAACAACAACAAAACCATAATAAAGTAGAAAAAAAAACCCCAAACTGTTAGATATACAAGTGAGACCACATGTGACAAAAATAAATAAATCAAGAACATTATTTCGTTTGAACAGTTTTCTGTTTATATTTATTTGATTAAATGTCTTTTTTTAAATTCAAAAAGTCATGACATTTATTAGGCTCCAGCCCCCCATGACCATAGTGAGGATTAAGTGGTGTATAGATAATGGATGGATGGATGACACTTATTTCATGTCATTTTTTTCATGGCCTAGCTGGGGCTGAAATCAAACCCTGTATGCACAGTAATGTTCTTGACTGAATATTCTCTGTAATAAATACCAGTAGAATAATCCATTTTCTCTATCCAGTAAGACTAGAAAATCAACATCTTGGTCACACAAAACAAAACACTCCAAGATTCCAGCAGAGCAACATCAACTGTGGCTGCGTTCATGAATTCAGTCTGAAATGTTGAACATCCGGCAATCAAAAAAAAAGAGGGAAACCATACAAACGGGGGAAATAAAACCACAAACAAAAGGACAGGGATCTTTTCTAAATAAGATTCAAGACCACAACAGAAGCCATGAGGAATATTAATCACAGGCGTTGTCTTCACTTCAGTAAAGTTTCATTTTTATGAATGTTTCAGTTTGTAAGAGCTGTTTTCTTGAGTAACAGGCTTTGTTTTTTATTTTTTGCTAAACCCCATACTTTGCTGCCTTCAAATGGTGTCATCCATGTTTATAGGAAAGAGGACAATAGGAGGTGATTGAGCCTTTAGCCTAGCCCTTAGTCTACAGAAGAAAACCTGACGAGATAAGTATGCACAGTTGAATAATTTCTTAAACTATTTCAAACTCTGATATTTTATAGTACACACATTGTGCAATTATAAAGACATTTTTGAAAATAAAAAAGATCGGTTCATCCATCTGTTTTTGTTGCAGTGTTTTATCCTCTGTAGGGTGGAAGGGAAAAGGCAGGGTACATCTGGACAGGCCTATCGCAGGGCTACACAGAAAGACAGGCAACCAAGGACACTCACATTCACACCTAGGGTAAATTTAGAATCGCCAATTAACTTCAGCATGTCTTTGGTCTGTGGGAGGAATCCTGAGAACCTGGATGCAAACTCCACACAGAAAGAACCCAGGCTAAGATTTGAATGCAGGACTTTTGAGCTGTGAGGCGACAGTGCTAACCACTCTTGTTGACCCTCACTGTTGTGTCGTATTTTCCAGAACATGAAGACAGAATTTAACCCAACAAGTTTAAATATAAGACCTTAAGTTAAGAACCTATAGTGTTGCTTATGGTGTAAGTTTACCTCAGTAATTTACATATGTGACCCATCTGCACGAAATCAGTTGCATATATTATATCCGAGATACAGCCCGGATTACATTCATACTTGATAATGTAGTGATTTTGGGTTTATTACTTAGATCTGTCTATTTAGTTGTTTTCTACATGTAGGTAACATATACTGATTTCGTGCAGACAGGTCACATATTAAGAATTAAAACCCTACAAAGTTTTATAAACTACAACAAACTACTACTTTACCTGACTACAATACATATTATGACCGACCTTATTAATTCTGGAGAATAAACTAAATAATGTGATAACATAGCTAAGACCCTATGGTTCTATAAATTGCAAAACTTAACCAAATATAAATATTAAAGGTAAGACTCAACAGTGTTATTAGTTATGAAGATTAACCTGACGAACATAGCTGAATTTTTAATCCTACAAAATAATTACATAAAATATGTATGTACTTCCAACACATCATGAATGGACAAAAAAATGTGCGTACCCTCCAGATCTGAAAAGTGAAGCCAATGTTGTGCAAGAAACTTGTGTTCTCTCTAACAGCCAGCAGGGGGCGACTCCTCTGGTTGCAAAAAGAGGTCAGATTGTATAAAGTTCTATGAGAGAATTATCATACTTCTTATTTGATTTGTAAAATCAGTAAACATTTTTCTAACGAGTTTATGTTCTCAATTGCTAATTTCAACACTTTCAGAAACCAGCATGATGTTAATGTTGTAAATTTTGACCCCACATAGAGAAGAATAGACGATAAAGCAAGATATGCTTTAGGGAAAAGCTATCTTGTGATTGACGGGTCACTATGCATAGGGTCCTCGAGTTCACAGTTTGATCTACCTTTTGCTTGTCGAGCCTGGTTTCAAAAGAGCAAGATAGCTACAAAAAATGCAAAACCCGAGGCTTCCAAACTGTAGTCACATCACAGTGGCTGCATCCATCTTTTATCTTTTGAGCTGCACAGGTAGGCCTTTCACTACGTGAAATTTCCGCGATTACTTCAGATTTGTTCCCGAACATAAATGTGTAACCGGAATGTTTTCTGAGGACGCATACGCTCTGAACAGGAAGCCACCTTTTTATCAGGTGACCCTGAATGCACTCGCTGGCCACACTTTGGCTACCCTTCAGTCAATTGTTTACTATTAAATTTACAGCACGGTAGCTTGTTTGCAGTTTCCTGCATTCTATCACAGGATGTGCTGTCTTCCTTTGAAATTTATTCCCGTCAAACGCGGTGTAATTACATGTTTCCCCCGTCCTCATTGCAACACCCTTTCCTCGTAAACTGTTGCTCATACCCACAGCCCTGCACTGGTCTCCTCTCAGATCATAACTAATCCCAATGAGTTACTTTTATTTGAAAAAGTTCTTCAGTTTCTTATTTGGCCTGTCCACCTAACTTCTGTATGGATTTACCTTATTAATATTGGCTCCCTGGAAACATTCTTCCTCAGCTGCCTTGTTTGCTCTTGGTTTACAGCTGGAATTAGGCAGACTAGATTTTTGTCAGTCTGAGGGACACAAAGTGCTTGAATTGAGCCCAGAGAACTGAGCGGCTGCCAATTTGTCTTATTCCCACAGTTCACTCACAGTGCACGGATAGGATACAGCTTATTAGCGATGTTTGTTCAATTTGACAGACCCCTGGCTAACTGGTGAAGCAAAACAACACGAACGATTTAATAAAGATGCATCAGTCATCGAGCGCACACAGCGACACAAGCATTGCATTAAATGTAGGTTTTCTGATGCTGCAGTGACAAAGAGGACAGGTTTTTACTTGTTTCACCTACAGGCTGGCTTGGTGGTAAAACTGAAGGTGTTCAGTTTCAGTCTCTCCTTCCCTCCCTTCTAGTAATCACCATAACAGCCTTTGCCCAATACCTCCTGCAGCAGCGAGGTGCTCGTCAGACCAGTTTTCAGGCTGTGTGTTGATCTTTGGGGAAGCCCTCGTAGCTGGTAGTTACACTCAAGAAACGGCATTAAGCTGTGAGAAAGGGTTTTCTTTTAATGCAGCAGAACTTGTTTTATCACATCTTAAAGGAGTTTAGCAGGACTTTGAATGGGTTTGAGCTCAACGCTGCTTGAATAAAACGACTCACCTGGTGAGTGTTGCTTTTAAGACTTTAAGCTTAACATGTGTTTGCTTCATTGTGGTTTCATGTGACTGACTACATGGTATTTGTTGCTCTATTCGATCGGCTTCAGTGTCATTTTTGCTTCTTCTGCCTTGCTATTATGATTTGCTGGCTCTTTAAACTCTCTGTGGCCATTTATTAAAAGAATGTTTCAGCTACAAGTGGACACAAATGCTGTGACAAATCTACAAAACTCTCAGAACAGTATCTCTAGCATCACCACCCTGCACTGACATGTATGACGGAAATGTGTGGAATGTCACCTGTTTTCACCTTTACACACATTTAAACAGAGAATAAAAGACCAACTATTGCTAAATGTTGTTGAAACAAGCTGAACTGTAGTTCACTAAAGAAGGCTAAATGAAATAACGCACCAAAAATAACCTGCCTGAGCACATAAGCCAGGAACCCTCAAACAGATAACGCTCACACAAGCAGCAAGCTGCCTCGTAACCTCGTCTCACCCCTCGCCCAGAGCCGCAGAAGCCCGCATTTTCTCTTTTGATAGTCATAAAGTATTCAGGTGAAACAGTAACACTGGGGGATAATAAAAGCCCAGTGTGTGGTGACAAACACAACCAGGGTGTGGCTTTTAACAGTGCACATGCATAAATAGGCCACGGGGTTGTGGGAAGGCGAGACAGGCAGGTACAAGACCTGGAAGCTTCCTTACTGAGAAGCCGGAAGACCGTCGGAGAGGTACGGTAGGCATCTTACGTTTCTGCTTTTCTTACAGCTACCTGTTGTGATTTTCAAATTTGCAGGACATTCAGTTAATTCTTATTCTTTACTTTATTTCTCTCTTCCTGCTAGATTTCTCTACACTATAGATGTAAGCACAGGGTTGTTTCCTTGATTACTAATCACCTACCTTCTAAAGAAAACCCTGCTCTGACAAAAGACAAAGTATCTCTAAATTCAGAGCTTGTTGCGTCCAGTAAACAATGTTGGAATGAAGCAAAGTATATTAAATACTGGACAAATTTATATGAACACCTAATGGGAATATCTCTGTTTTACACAACTTAATGCTTCTTCACTACATCTCAGAAGCAAGTATTGTACATTTTACTCCTCTACATTTGTCTGAGAGCTTTAGTTAAATTTTCAGATTCTAGTTATGTCTTTTACACCATTCCTGAAAATCATGTATCTCCTAATTTTGTGATTTTGAATTTGATTTTTACATTTCTGTTACTATTGTGCCTTTATTCACTGAGAAGTGTCTCCTACATCTTAAAGACCCTCTGATGAAAATTAAGTGTTCCTCCCTAGTTCACTTGTCTTTATGATGTTTTATATGCGCTAGAAAACAAGCTGTGTGTGACCACAGTATACACACACACACGTATGCTGTGGTTTTGCTGCTTTTTATACAATGACCACCCCCACAACCGCATGTATACAACCATATAACTGTTTACTTTTAAGCAATTTACACTTTAAGATAATTACTGTAATCACCTTTTCCACTGCCATAGCCACTTTATTTAAGTTTCCAATAATGCACAGTGCACTTTATGACCCCTGCTGTTATCATTTAAGGTATGCTTATTTATTTACATTTCGATGGTATTTCTTATATTGTGTCCATCTGGTTAAGGAGGATCAGCTCAGTATAGTGTTCTGTGCATATCAAAATAAACCTCTTGAATCTTTAATCTTGTAAAAGCCATGGCAGAGCATTTTCACTCTGACGATACAGCGTACTGATGACAAAATTCAGGCTTTTCAGGTTTCATACACAACAAACCTAAAAAAAACAACAATCCTGTCACCTTGCTGGGTGGGGATTTCCACACCATTATTATTATTTCAAATCTTTTTCTCTCTTTTGAACATGTATGCCTGAATTTTCAAATGTTACAACTTGATATTGTGTAGTTTAGAGTATATTTACAGTGTTTGAGCAGAGTTGTAGGTGAGCTGGTGTGCTTTGGCTGCAGTGAGCGGGAAGAGGTGGGGACTAGATCTGCATTTATATTTATTACGATGTAGAGGAGACATTTTTGGGGTTGTTTTCATGAAAAGAAAATTACAATTTAAAACTTTGCTGCATATTTAACTCAATAATCAGAGAAGGACTTTAAAATGTACAAACTACTTTAAAACAAACAACCAAAAAAAACTTTGTGGATTAGCTATAAAATTAATTGCCACAAAAATGAAAATAGGACTGCTTTTCATGAAAACTTGACATTTTGGAGGTTTTCATAGGACAGTGGTGCTACAAACATGATCATTTTATAGAATCTGATGCAGTGCTGTAGATTAAGCTACCAAATAAAATATAAAATAATTTTTAAAATTCCTGAAACGTAAACATCTACAGCTATATAATGGAACATATACATTAATATTAATTTAAAAAAATTCATATGTAACAGTAAAATGCAACAAGGACCTTTTTACTTCACCATATCTACTTTTGATGCTTTAAAGGCATTTTATTGATATTGCTTATTTACTTTTACCCAGCTTATTACTTCTTACCTATCTACCTTTATGTACTTCAATGTAGGACTTTAACTTTGAGGAAAATGTTCATACTGTGTTTCTGCTTAAGTAGAGTATCTGATCGCTTCCTCCATCGCTGCCAGTAAATGTTGTTTGGTATGTCGTGATGTGTTATTCTTGGCAAAAATAAAACATCGAGTTATTTTCAAGATAATTATATTGGCTCATATTGTCCAAACGCAGCGCTGACGGGTCAGTGTGAAAGGACGAAAAGTTCAAAAGTGGTTCCCCAGAGAATACAGCTGTGTTGTTCATCACACAATCTGTCACAATACAGTTAACTTAATTCAACCGTAAATACACACAAGTGGGGTTATTTTTACAACAAAAAAGGCTCAAACTGGTTCACAGAGTGCCAATCACGCACTGTGGCAGCTTTTGTTTCCTGTGTGAAGTGCGAAGAAAAAAATATTAAAGGATAAAAACAGTAAAATCTAAAAGGGTTGTGAGAATCTTTTGTCTGTCAGAGAACAGCAGCACATCAGTCAACAAAACAACAAATGCTAGTTTTACCTTCAGCAGACAGTATTCACAGCCACATTTCTGTAAAGATGTTTCAGTTTTTTAATGTTGTAAAAGCAACATTTTATACGACTGCACTGACCTCGGTATGCTCATCAGTAAACCTAGACTGTCCACAGGGACTCTGGGTCACAGAGCAGTCTGCTGCGATCTGGAAATGAAGCAGCGCAGAGATTTACAGGATACAACTCAGCAGACTTTGCCCAAAAATGATCAGAGCGTGAGTTCAGAGGGAGCTCCTGCCCATATATAAAGTCTGGAAACGTCTGGTGTCTGTCTTCAATCTTGCAGCTGTGAGGCTTCAGCGTCTGGACCATGTTCTCCTCTGCTACCCCGTACAAAAACCAGCACTACGCTGAACTGAGGAGGACCTGCATCAATGACAAGACGCTGTTTGAGGATCCAGAATTCCCGGCCACCAATGCATCGCTGTATTTCAGGAAACCACCGCCTGGGATGGTGGAATGGAGACGACCACGGGTGAGTGGCAGGAAGTAGTAATTGTCCTTAATCACTGACATTCAACAGGATGGAATGTAATTATAATATAATGGCTATTTACTGCATAAAGTGTATTTTGATGTGATTCTTTTGATTTTTTTTTTCTGTCTTACTGTACACCCACAACAAATCCTTCTACAAATTTTTAAAGCAAAATTCTGTCACCTTCTCTGTTGCAGGAGATAAGTAAAGCACCTCATCTGTTTGTGGAGGGCATCAGCTCCCACGACTTGAACCAGGGAGTTGTGGGAAACTGCTGGTTTGTTGCCGCCTGCTCCTGTCTGGCTTTAAAACCAAACCTCTGGAAGAAGGTGAGGTCATTTTATTCCTTTTTTTGTTTGTTTTCCAGATGTTGAAGCCAAGAGGCTGGTATGCTCAGTACTGTAACCAACATATGTAGATCTACTTAGATGCAGCAGCAGTGAGGTGGGTTAGTGTTAAAATATGTACCAGCTAATAACACAGTTCATTTCTCACCAGTAGGGATTCATGTTTAACAGCGAAGTGACATATATCTGTCCTACTTTTGAGGTCAAATGCTTCTAGATTAGCATCATTGTATTCCTTTTGCATCAACAGTGACTCATGAGTGAGATCAGTAAACACTTGTAAAACTTGTTGAAGCTGCTTTTGAGTTTTCAAAATAAAGTTAGTGATTTATTGTCACATTTCACACGACCCACTGATAAAATCTCAACTCAAACACTGTATATTAAACAACAACAGGGAAAAGAGGGAAACATGTAATATGAGGAAGTGGAAAACTTAACAATGGAGAATCACATGTCTACAACAAACTTCATATTCAACCCTTTGTACAAAGTTTTTTTTTTTTTCCCAGAAAAAAGTCCCACAGGTTTTTTCCCTTAGAGAAGTGATCATGCAAAGGGAAGCTGACAGAGACAGTGGAGGATTTGGAAGCTATCCACTGTCACCAGTTTGGTCTTATCCTCATTAAAGGCTCACAGAGTGCTACTGCACAGGGCTCAAGAACTAAACGTCCAATACTTTGTCTCAGTTTGAAGGAAGGAAACCATCTGTTCAGAGTTACACAAATACCTTCAGCTGATATTTTTTTCACTCTGAGATGAACAGAATCCTTCACAAAACACTACAATTTGCAAAAAATATGGGAAAAATGGATCATGTATATTATGCCTACATCCATAATTAATTTAAGCAGGAAGTGAAAAATGTGTACAAACATTAAAAATATATATATTTTAAAAATGCGTCTGTGCAAAAATGTAAGTTTTTTCCTAATTCTTTTACTTTACCCTTCCACTGTGTGTAAATGGTTTGTTGGTGTTTTTGTGTGTGCGTGTTTCCAGGTCATTCCGGATTGGAAGGACCAGGAGTGGGACGACAAACACCCAGAGAGCTACGCCGGAATCTTCCACTTTCAGTTCTGGATCTTTGGCGAGTGGATCGATGTGGTGGTGGACGACCGACTGCCTACGATCAACGGAGAGCTCATCTACTGTCACTCCAAAGACAACAATGAATTCTGGAGCGCTCTGCTGGAGAAGGCCTACGCCAAGTCAGTAAACCTAACTGTCCTTTATGCAGTAGTAGAGTTCTAATTTGTTCTTTTTTTTTTCTGTACTTATGTGTAGTTGATATCATAAAAATAAAATCTTATATTCTTCAACAGCTAGGAATATCAATTCTGTAACTATTTATACTACTATTAATAATATATTTGCAGTGAATCAATAATAAAAGCCACTTTCTTGCACAAGCCACTTAAAATAACCTGTAATTCTATGTAGGCTGTTGTTGCAGATAACTTAAAGTGTAATGGCAGTATGTTGGTTTGCATTATAAATTGTGACACTTTGAACTTTCAACCTAACTTGTGATCCATGTCTGTCCAGGCTCTCTGGCTGCTACGAGTCGCTGGAGGGTGGAAACACTGGAGACGCTGTGGTGGATTTCAGTGGCGCTGTGGCTGAAACTATCAACCTGGAGGACCAGCAATTCTATCAGGACCAAGACAAACAAGACAAACTGTTCGAGGACCTCCTGAAGGTGTACGATCGAGGAGGAATCATCAGCTGCTCCATTAAGGTCCGTGCTGATTCTGAATGTTTGCGTCTTTTATCTTCATACTTTAAAGCTGCTGGCCTTATCAGTGTTTGTAAAATCTCACAGGCACAGGCTCATGAAATCGAGTTGAAGATGGCTAACGGGTTGGTGAAAGGCCATGCGTACTCGGTAACGGCAGTGAAGAAGGTGCGTTTGGGTCACGGGCTGCTGGCCTACTTCAAAAACGAAACCATCCCACTGATCCGCATGAGGAACCCCTGGGGCAAGACTGAGTGGAAAGGAGCCTGGAGTGACAGGTGAGGAGGACGCACGTTAAAATGAACTTGTCTCTACTGTATATTCCATTAAAGGTGATATTCCATCCAAAGTTTTTCAAAGGCTTTCAAAATGGAACACTTACAGCCTCACAAAATTCCTGTTATTAGTGTGGTCCTTGATGGAAAACAGAAGCTGTGGTCAGCTTGAATTCATGGTGGTTATGGTGGATTATGGTATGAAATCTTTCCAGCATATCCTGTGGTATTACCCTCCTCCATCGCATGACAGCCTGTATACTTAGTAGATGCCAAACAATCTGATTTTTTTAAACAAAAACATGGGTCTGACCAGAGGAAGAGTGGGAGGCTGCAGGCGAAACGCTTACTCTGAAGATCACCAGGGTCGAGTGTAACCGTTTAGAGGAAATCATTTACTATTTTTGGTAGAGAATAATTACTGTGTGGAGCATATTGAATATTTAGAAGGACAGCAGATGAGTGGATGTAGTTTGTGACTCTTCTCTGGTATGAAAACGTTTAATTTTAGAATCTGTTGTAGCTGTTTTATATGTAATCTGACTCCAGCAGTATATTCTATGAAGAAGCTTTTTTAAAAATAGACGCATTTAATGATTCAAAAGGTGGAGTAGAGTTATGTGTTTCTGTCTCAAAGGTGCATCTTCTTTTGCTTTCTGTTTGTCAGCTCTGAGGAGTGGTCAAAGGTTGGCGACACAGAGAGGGGCAACCTGGGCATCACAGTGGAGGACGACGGAGAGTTCTGGTGAGTTCTGAAGTTCCTCCACTTACAGCAGTCACCTGTGAAGTTCGTCTCCTTATTACGAGTTTTTTTAATGACGCATTTTCTGTTTTCGTCCACAGGATGTCGTTCACAGATTGGTGCAAGTTCTTCACAGACGCAGACGTTTGCCGTCTCATCAACACTTCGGTGATCAGCATCCACAAGACGTGGCATGAGGTCGTGCACTTTGGGAGTTGGACTAAAAACGCAGAGCCGCTGTTAAACCGTTGCGGCGGCTGCGCTAATCACAAACAGACATTCCTGCAGAACCCACAGGTACTGCAAAGTCTCAGTACAACCTCTGTTCACATCGTCTGCGCATGTATACTGAATCCTTTTTCTTTCACAGTACCTGTTTGATGTTACAAAGGAGGCTGATGAGGTCCTGATCTCACTGCAACAGAAAGACATGAAGATACACAGAAAATATGGTCAAGGAGAAAATCAAACCATCGGCTTCGGTGTCTTCAAGGTAACCACCATACCTTATTGATTGGAAGAAGTGTTAAGGATTGATCTACAGTGGCATGTTGTCTGTGTGGATTCTCAGTCATCCATGTAATGGTAATCCTAGGAGCTTCAGTGAAAAGCATCCAGGCCTCTTTGTTACGTTCCTGAAGACGTTTCAAGTCTTAGTTGAGAGGTGAACCATCTTTAAGAACCTATAAGAAGAGTGCATGTTGCATCATAAGCACCAAAGGCTCTAAATATCAGGAAAAAGTAAGATACTGGTGAAGTAGCCGTTAAACATTGTACAAAGGTCAAGATGATCTCATTACAGAGGCAACAGCGTTCGTCTGGGCTGAAGGCATTAATCGAGTTTCTGTTTATTTTGGGCTAAAGCTGGGCCATTTCGCCACATTTTGGCTTTCGTGTTGGTCAAAGAACTTGGCTTTATTTGAGTTTTGTTCCCATTTGTTGAGCAAACAGTGACCAGTTGGGACTTTTTAATTACAGAAGGCAGACATTTATTTATTATTTGATAGTTTTATCAGAACCAAAACAGGCCATTTCAGCAAGAGGCTAAATCATAGGTTACGTGATTCAGCACAAAGAATGCACATGCTTTCGCTGATTGTTTCAAGATGAAGAGCGGTGCGAAGCCAAACACGTTCAAACACGTTCACGAGTTATGAGTGGATTTATTAGTTGCTGGAGATCAAAAAAAAGTATTAACAGTCTCTCTGAAGTACTATTTGCTGTACAATTATAGAACCACAGCCGCGCAATAAGCTGGAAAAAAACATAGAAAACATGGGTTTGCCTAATTATAAAACAGAGAGTAATAAAAACAGAAGTAGTAAAAAGACAAAACAGTGCAACTCAGTAAGGTTCCAGTCGAGATTTAAACCGATTATTAGCTGGAAAGTGAATGCAGTTCTCTTTTAAAACAGCAGTAAAGTTAGATTTTATCCTACATGCTGCGATTAGATCGTCACATTCAAATGAGGCCTTGAAGCTGCATGCGGCAAAACTGACATCACATATCCTGTAAAGAGATTTGCTTGTCAGAGTTCTGGCTAAGTTCAAACACACACTATGCACTCTTATCATGCCGACAGAAGTGCTGCCAGAGGGGTACGTTCTGGACGGCAATAAACGCCGGTGCCATAAAGAGGCTGCGATTAAAGAGAAAACTGCTTTGTGCACACGGCCTGTTCAGCTTCTGTGAGACTGAAGTGTTAAACTTTGTTGTCATCTATGGTCATCGTGAGAGAGATGCGTCCTCCCTGTTCATCTGACAGATTCCAGACTCTGCTCAGATTATCTGTTTTTTATGTCCTTGGTCACTACACTTTCCTCTTTGAGATGTATGTTAGTGCTAAAAGAATGTTATTTAGATGAAAAGCAAACTGCCAGTCGTGAAACTTTCAATAAAAAACTTTTAAACTCCAGCTGACATCTAAGTGGATTCCCAGCAGCTTAGAGAAGGCCGAGAGTTCGAGGATCATAATTGTTATGATAACCTCAATCTGACTATTAGCTGCTCAACGATACACAGTATAACCCTGGATCACACTCACAAGGATTTTCCCCAAAATTATTGAAGTAACAAACCAGATATCTTCCCAGAACTGTAGCACTTACAGTACCACTACAATAATACACTGACATGAGTTAAATGCAAGTTTTATTCACTGTTCTGCCACCAGGAGGCAGAAAATTCAAACAGCAGCTTAATACTCCTCCTCATTATGATTCTTTATGCATTAGAGTTAATGTTGGACAAGCTGAGCGTACATATGTGGAGTTCTGCAATAAAATTCAATGTCGTATGAAAGTATAAACAGCTGAATGTAGTTCAAAAGCACAAAATGATGTATCGTTAATGTTTGAGGCAGAGCTGGTTTGTAAAGCACTCTAAAACCAAATGTTTGCCATCAATAACAAAAATTCAGATGTTTTCAGCAAAGACAACTTCTAATACACTTATGTCCAGCCAATCAACTATATTGAGTTGGAGGAATAAGTCGTTCTTCTACCGTTAGTGGTATATTAAACTATCAATTGCTTAATAACTGGAAGAACAAAACAGAAGTTTTTCAGTTATTAAGAACTTGAAATCCTGGCGTCAGTGGGGACAAAACTGATGTTATCAAGCCAATTTAATTAATTTACTTCAACTTGAATTTGGTTTCAAATCAGTTTATAAGAAATTAAGGTTTAAATTACACACAATATTAGCTTTTTAGATAAACAGAACAAACTGTCAAAAGTAGGGGAAGACACAGGACCATATATATACAAAGAGAGCTAACTGGGGACACAAGACACATGTAAAACTAATGAGGACATGCAACAACAACAAAAAAAGGGAGGGAAACAAACAAAAGGAGGAAGTAAAAATACAAATGGCACACAAGGAAAGGGGATGTCAAAATAAAACAGGAAATAAAACTAAGCAAATCTACTGACCATGACATAATCTTTAACAATGCATTGTAGTTTAAGGTGTAAGGTAGTTTTTCTGTAAGTTTACTGAACATTGTTTATGTAAAGTATAAAGTAACTAGTGTAGTCATGTGTGTAATGAAGTAAAAAAGTACAACATTTCCCTCTTAGATGACAAGTAAAATGAAGTACTTAGTTAAACTACACATAACTCAAAGTTGTAATGCACAGTACTTGAGTAAATCCTTTGAGTTACTCTACACTGTTGTAAAACCTCAAACTCTTCCCCAGGTGGAAGTGAACAGGAAGTATCGGATGCACGACATCCTGACCCAACAGTGTGTGCAGACGTCCACCTACATCAACGCTCGGACGGTGTTCATGAGATGTGTGCTGACTCAGGGTCGATACGTCATCATCCCCACCACCTTCAAGCCTCTGACGCTGGGCGACTACATGATCCGAGTTTTCACTGATGTGGACTCAGGCTGCCGGTAAGATGAAGATACGTGTGGTGTAAGATCACGGCGATGTGTAGCTGAGTCTGAGTAGATAAACAGCATGGCTGCTGTTAATGCTAACAGAATGAAATGTAAGACACACTTAAGGGAAGCAGCTGTTCTTTGACTATTCATTTTATCTTCTGATGGATCATCTCCAAGAAAAACACTAAAACTAGTGTTTTGGAGAATTGAAACATGCACATTAAATCTCCTACTGCTTTTTTTGGCCCAAGATTCTGTCTTAACAGATTTTGTTTTTGTTTCTGCAATTCTTTTTGGCTCACCTTCAGAAACAAATCATGTGTGCGCACATACAGTGCAAATCATCCACGCTGGCTGATCAAACCGGCATCATGTCAGTTTGCTGATAGCGAGGTTGAGGTCAGAATGGCAAGAAGCAGGAACTTGACTTCTATCCTGATTCTTTAACTCTCCTCTACTCTCACAGGGAGCTGATAGACGACAAGCCAAAGATAAAGTGTTGGAGTTCGTTCCTTGGATATCCACAGGCTGTGTCTCACGTCTACATCCACGGAGCTGAGGGGCTTCAGAACCAGGACAGTACAGGAGGTTAGAGGGCCTTCACCAAGCTAGACTTTACACTACAAACCTGCTCTTCAGTGTATAAAGTCTTAAATCACATGCATTTTTATTCATCATCTTTTTCCGTGCAGGTGCCGACCCCTACGTGATCATATCCTGCGAGGGTCGGTCAGTAAAATCCACCATCAAGAAGGACACTTTGCAGCCAGAGTTTGCAACCAGCGGCATCTTCTACAGGAAAAAGCCCAGAAAGCCAATAACTGTGGAGGTAAGATGGAATCTCTCTGTCACCCCTCCTGCTGACTGTGATTCATCTAAGTGACTAGAGGAGCAAAGGGCTGTATGTCAGTGTCTGGTTAAAACCATGTATCTTCAAAATGTCAACTTTTCAGACACCAAAATATGCCATATGTTAAGATCAAAGATGATGCATTTCTCAATGACTGAATTTTTTCTCAAGAGGCGTTGAGAGCATCAGAGGGAGGAGAAGTTTTACTATTAACATGCAAAATCCTTTAATTTACCTAAAACAAGTTTTAGATGATAAACAAGTATAATATAATAATAAAGGAAGCGTGTTCAGCTGCTCCTAATATGTGCATATACATTCAATTTCATACTTAATTAAAGCCGCAAGCGGCGATGGACGGGTCCTCGCCCTACGCTTGTCGGCCTT